GGTATTGGAGGTGGTATCGGAGGCGGTATCGGAGGCGGTATCGGAGGCGGTATCGGAGGCGGTATCGGAGGCGGTATCGGAGGCGGTATCGGAGGCGGTATCGGAGGCGGTATCGGAGGTGGTATCGGAGGCGGTATCGGAGGGGGAGGCGGTATTGGAGGTGGTATCGGAGGCGGTATTGGAGGTGGTATCGGAGGCGGTATCGGAGGTGGTATCGGAGGCGGTATCGGAGGCGGTTATCGGAGGCGGTATTGGAGGTGGTATCGGAGGCGGTATTGGAGGTGGTATCGGAGGCGGTATCGGAGGCGGTTATCGGAGGCGGTATTGGAGGTGGTATCGGAGGCGGTATCGGAGGCGGTTATCGGAGGCGGTATTGGAGGTGGTATCGGAGGCGGTTATCGGAGGCGGTATTGGAGGTGGTATCGGAGGCGGTATTGGAGGTGGTATCGGAGGCGGTTATCGGAGGCGGTATCGGAGGTGGTATCGGAGGCGGTATTGGAGGTGGTATCGGAGGCGGTATTGGAGGTGGTATCGGAGGCGGTTATCGGAGGCGGTATCGGAGGTGGTATCGGAGGCGGTATCGAGGCGGTATCGGAGGCGTATCGGAGGCGGTATCGGAGGTGGTATCGGAGGCGGTATCGGAGGCGTATCGGAGGCGGTATCGAGGCGGTATCGGAGGTGGTATCGGAGGCGGTATCGGAGGTGGTATCGGAGGCGGTATTGGAGGTGGTATCGGAGGCGGTATTGGAGGTGGTATCGGAGGCGGTATTGGAGGTGGTATCGGAGGCGGTTATCGGAGGCGGTATCGAGGCGGTATCGGAGGCGTATCGGAGGCGGTATTGGAGGTGGTATCGGAGGCGGTATCGGAGGTGGTATCGGAGGCGGTAATCGGAGGCGGTATCGAGGCGGTATCGGAGGCGTATCGGAGGCGGTATCGAGGCGGTATCGGAGGCGTATCGGAGGCGGTATTGGAGGTGGTATCGGAGGCGGTTATCGGAGGCGGTATCGGAGCGGTATCGGAGGCGGTATCGAGGCGGTATCGGAGCGGTATCGGAGGCGGTATTGGAGGTGGTATCGGAGGCGGTATCGGAGGCGTATCGGAGGCGGTATCGAGGCGGTATCGGAGGCGTATCGGAGGCGGTATCGAGGCGGTATCGGAGGTGGTATCGGAGGCGGTATTGGAGGTGGTATCGGAGGCGGTATCGAGGCGGTATCGGAGGCGTATCGGAGGCGGTATCGAGGCGGTATCGGAGGTGGTATCGGAGGCGGTATCGGAGGCGGTATTGGAGGTGGTATCGGAGGCGGTATCGGAGGCGGTATTGGAGGTGGTATCGGAGGCGGTATCGAGGCGGTATCGGAGGCGGTATCGGAGGCGGTAATCGGAGGCGGTATCGGAGGTGGTATCGGAGGCGGTATCGGAGCGGTATCGGAGGCGTATCGGAGGCGGTATCGGAGGTGGTATCGGAGGCGGTATCGAGGCGGTATCGGAGCGGTATCGGAGGCGGTATCGAGGCGGTATCGGAGGCGTATCGGAGGCGGTATCGGAGCGGTATCGGAGGCGGTATCGAGGCGGTATCGGAGGCGTATCGGAGGCGGTATCGAGGCGGTATCGGAGGCGTATCGGAGGCGGTATCGGAGCGGTATCGGAGGCGGTATCGAGGCGGTATCGGAGGCGGTATCGGAGGCGGTATTGGAGGTGGTATCGGAGGCGGTTATCGGAGGCGGTATCGGAGGCGGTATCGGAGGTGGTATCGGAGGCGGTATCGGAGGCGGTATTGGAGGTGGTATCGGTGGCGGTATCGGTGGCGGTATCGGAGGCGGTATCGGAGGCGGTTATCGGAGGCGGTATCGGAGCGGTATCGGAGGCGGTATCGGAGGCGGTATCGGAGGCGGTATCGGAGGCGGTATCGGAGGCGGTATCGGAGGCGGTATCGGAGGTGGTATCGGAGGCGGTATCGGAGGCGGTATCGGAGGCGGTATTGGAGGTGGTATCGGAGGCGGTATCGGAGGCGGTATTGGAGGTGGCATTGGAGGAGGCATCGGTGGGGGTATCGGAGATGGTACTTATTCCCCCCCATCTAACCTGTACGAGACACCTTGAAAACATTCCCGTGCCATTTATTTGTTAGGATTATGTGGACTACTTTTTTTCAATTCATCCCTCCCTCTTTCTCCTTTCACCCTCTTTTCCTCCACCCCCCCTCTCTCTCTCTGTTTCTTTCTCTCTCCCGTGTGCTCTCTTTAAACATACATTATTTATATTTGCATACAAATAAGTGATCCAAATATTAAGATATATACCATCATAAAAATTATTTATTGTGAATAAGGAAATAAATTAATTTCTGCGGCAATGAATGATTTGAATAACCCCCATACTTCGGTTGCATATGATGTTATTTAACAATGGATATGAGTTGACGGAATGTCTATTTCATGTGCGGCAAAGCAGAGACTAAAGCTTTCTATGACTGCCCTGTAAATATCGCAACTAAAGAAATTAGAATGAAGCCTCATTATATTTTTTTTTATATTTACAAATAAAATATATACAGGGTCTTTCTCTGTATAAAGAATAAAAATGTGGAAGTAACACTTGATTTTTTTTTTTTAGTTTTTTTGCTTTTTTTGCTATCTATATTGATATCCACTCATTTATCTGTTAATATATGTGTGTAAGTGTGTGTGTGTGTGTGTGTGTGTGTAAGAGAGAGAGAGAGAGAGAGAGAGAGAGAGAGAGAGAGAGAGATTGAATGTGTATGTATGTATGTACATGCATGTTTCTGTTTATTTGTATCTATCCTTTCGGATAAGATGATTTCTGAGACTAAAATGCAAGAATTTAGTTATGGGTATACTGTTCCCAAAAAATCAGGCATCCCTTGACCTACAAATCGGGTCAGCCAGCCGTTGAACTAACAATACCTTCCAGGTCATGGTTTTCCTTGGTCAGTACATGTATTTATATTTTTTGTTTCTTTCTTATCCCAATCAGTTTATAATTATGTAGTATTAGATGTATTGATCACTGGACGATTAACAAAAACATGAGATTTTCTACTAGTAATTAGTAAGAGATAATTGGTACTATCGTCTGAGAAAAAGTTTTTTTTTTCTGCTGTACACTTTCGACGTATTTCATATATGTAATTACTGCTGGTATAACTATTGTTACTATTATTATCTACTACTGATGCTATTCTTGCTAGTACAGCTTTACCACCACGATCATCAACATCATCACCATCACCATTATTACCTCCACCATCATTATCGTCATAATCATTATTAATCTATAACCATGTGCCTCTTAAAATCCTGATTCTGTGGAAAAGGTCTGTGTAGTTGTGATTATTATTTTCAGTTCTTTCTGGAGGTTATTAAAAAGATGAAAAATAGAAGTCCTTAGCTAGAAATACAAAAGTTTGTTTTCTGAGTTCGTCTAAACAAATATTTACTTACTTGGATACACAACACACACACACACACACACAGACACACACATACACACACACACACATATATATATACATATATACGTGTGTGTGCGTGTATATTCATTACACACACACACACTCATAAAGAATTTGGTCACTGCGTATGATAATAACAACTATTTTTTTAGCACTATATTCTGATGTACCAAGGCGTTATGTGGCCAATGCATGTATTCGAAGGCTATCTTAGGGAAAGAGCGTAAAATGAGTAAAGAAGAAAATTCTAGTTCTGTTCCATGAATCATTCCTTATGACAAATAATAATAATAGTCATAACAGCAAATCAAAATGCGGATAGATAAATAAATAAACGCATCATATGACAAATAAAAATAATAGCTATAACGACAAATTAAAATGCGGATAAGTAGATAAATAAACACATTGCTATCATATGATATAAACATTCCACATAAGGTCGACGCAATCTAACTTTATCATCATTTCGAGGGGGGGGGGGTGATGATTTCATTGGTTTTAGGAGACCCCAAAAGCGAATTCCGGTCTCATCAACTGACAATCTCCAACCTATCTTAGTAGATACAACGCCTAACACAAACGGAAATTTCCTATCCATGTCCACAACGTAATTGTGAACAGTTAATAAAATGTATTCGCAAAACTGATCCTCAACTGCTGGTGAAAACTTTCACCTTCAGGAAGATGTGAAAATAACAAACACAGTATTTGATATTAGAAGCCAGACACGTATGTGCGTAACTGCTTTAACATGCTTGTTATTCAGATCAAATGACAAAGTCATCATAGTGTTTCTTGCGTCTCTACTGAAAGATAATGATTTTAGAACTATATCATAACTCCATGTGAAGTCTCATCAGTAACCTATTGAGATATTGATTAAAAAACAAGACGATATCGAAAAAAACGAAGATACCGTATTGCTCTGGAGGAAGACACCGACTTCCACCTGGATGCATCGAGTGTATGATTCAGAATATAACAGACTGCTTATTCCAGCTGAATCGCAGTGTCATCATCTTTGAATGTTGGGCACGTGATTAAGCCAAGGATTTCTTCTTTACTCTTTCTTGAGTGAGATTTGTTGCAGAAAGGAGAAAGGAAAGACCTTGGGAAGGCCAAAGTGAGGTGCGTAGGAGGAGCAAAGGACGTTAGTATATATATATATGGAGGCACATGAGGACAGTGGAACGACTTCCACCATGAAGCTCTTGGTGAGTAGTGTTTGCCTCAGTTCCATGCTACTCTTATTATGCACGTGGAAATTTGAAATCCGAAATTTAAATATGTGCATGGAAATATGAAATAGTTTAATCAGTGGAATTTGATGATAGTGTAATATCTATGAGATGTGTTATTTATTTTATAGATCTTAGCACTCGTGGCTGCTGTGTCTGCTGCCCCTCAGGGGTACAACCTGCCTACGCCCACTGGTCCTTCCTTTGAGTCTGGGAGCTGTGGCAGTGGGCAAGTGCGGCATGTGGATGGAAGCTGCGTCAGTGAACAGCCGTGTGTTCCTGTACGATGTGCCAGCAAACGAAGGTGTTGTCAATCGGCCAGACTACATTCCAGAGCCTAAAGTGGAACGCAATATCATTTTTGTAAGACTGCCTGAAGGTGCAGATGGACCAGAACCCATTGTCGTACCACCGCCACAACAGCAACACGTCGTGTATGTCCTGAACAAGCAGTCAGAACAGGACCAGCGAGTGATCGAGGTTCCAGCACCACCGCCATCCAACCCCGAAGTGTTCTTCGTGAACTACGCAGAAGGAGAGAACCCGACTCTTCCCAGCGGAGTCGACCTCCAGACGGCGCTGAGTTCAGCTTCCCAGGGCGGCGGCCAAGTTGTTGGAGGCGGTGGTGTTGGAGGAGGAATCGGAGGTGGAATCGGTGGTGGCATCGGAGGTGGTATTGGCGGTGGAATCGGAGGTGGCATCGGAGGCGGAAGTGGAGGTGGCATCGGAGGTGGCATCGGAGGTGGCATTGGAGGTGGCATCGGAGGTGGCATTGGAGGTGGCATCGGAGGTGGCATTGGAGGTGGCATCGGAGGTGGCATTGGAGGTGGCATCGGAGGTGGCATTGGAGGTGGCATCGGAGGTGGCATTGGAGGTGGCATCGGAGGTGGAAGCGGTGGTGGCATCGGAGGTGGAAGCGGTGGTGGCATCGGAGGTGGAAGCGGTGGTGGCATCGGAGGTGGAAGCGGTGGTGGCATCGGAGGCGGAACATACTCTCCTCCTTCTAATCTCTATGGTACACCCTAAAAGTATCCATGTGTTGACTCCATCATTTTGAATGACCATTTGAGGAAATGCGGTTCAAACATACATATATAATGTACGTATGAAAGTACGTATGCCAATATTTATTTGTAAATTACAAAATAAAACTTATCAAGAAAACAAATTTTATTATAAACAATCAACTTGAAATTCACACTCAAATATAACCCCCCCAAAAAAAGAAAAAAGAGAGAGAGAGAAAAAAGAGATACATAATAACTATAATTTATCAATATCAAGGGCATGTCAAGAAAGTAGCAATCGTAAAAATATAATGCTAATGGAAATGATAATGATAATGACAACATTGATGATTCTGATTATGAATATGATTGTGGTGGATAATCATGATCTTTAACATTGTGCTAGTAATAACAATGATAATTATAATAAAAAAGGGATAGCAATACTAATGACTATCACAATAATATTAAGAAGAGAGAGAGAGAATGGGAATGAAAATATGTATGTACAACATGTTTGTGTGCGTGTGTGTGTGTGAGAGAGAGAAGGGCTTACTGTTGACCTGGTAAGCTATAGGAACTGAACCTTGTAAATTTCAAGTAATGTTTTATTGTTTTATTTGCCTTCATAAACGCACGAGGCATTTCCATGAAAGCACGGATATGAAAAGTGACAGTTACTTTATTTATGAGATATCGGTAATGATCATTACCTCTACCAGACAAGGACATTAGTCATGTCTGCATATTCTCTGCATGCACCCTGCGCCACCTACTCAAGCAAGCGAGTACCAGTATGCGACACATATTTAATTTCCCTTGCATACTTTCACTTCTTCGTAATTATACTTTTTCTGACCTTGTCTCACTCGGGCATTATCGCCTGCCTCAGATAAGACACAATTAGCACAAACATCGATTACTGTCCAGTTGCATTATCCTTTTATCCAGTTTTATCTTATTTTCCAGTTGCATAATCCTTTTGCTCCTGAACAATACAACTTTTTTTTTCTTATCTATGTTTCTAATTTGATACTGAACTCATCATAATAGGCAATTACATTAACTGATTCCAACTGAAAACAGCAACAACAACGTGTCACTGTAGACCAGAGTCAGCAGATGCTTAACCCATTCCCTGGCATTATGAAAAGAGTGAGACTGGGAGGTGTCCAAACTTTAGCTAAATCATGTAATCCAAAGTACTGATTGTAGATGATGAAACCCCAGTGCGCCGGAAGGCAGCTACAAGACGCAAAAACTCAATGTTCTAAATAAAGATGGACGAAATCAAGCTAATGTACCTTGGAAAACAAAAACAAAAACAAAAACATCTCATATATGAAATAACAAGATGATATACGAAAGAGCTGGGAAAGTGAAAGTCATCTTAGGCAATAACATCTCCCTTGGTAATGTTATCAGGCCTACATCAGTATATCCCGCAACCCTTAGTAGCGATAAATTAAAACCTTTCACTAAGTCCTCGATTTAAGGGACACAGTTTGGTAACTGCACATAGAGAAATACAAAGGATAAACCTAATTTAAATACTCAATTCTCATACGTTAAGTGTCCTTAGCAACAGGTCTTGTATTCTTAAAAAAAATCACCTGAAAAAACACAGAAAGGGCACAGAAAGGATTTTAGGAAGGGAGGGGGGGGGGGAGTGGAACATTGGTAGGGTCTTACAGTTGTTAAAGAGAGAAGGTCTATGTCGCTTCTGCCTATTGTCTCGTGTGGTAGAATTGTTTACATTTGTGTTTTATTAATGACTTGAAATGGACTTTGTTAAAAGTCCGACATTAACTATTGAATCAAGAATTCACGAATGAAGAGGAAGAGGGAGGCACTGTCCTAACTACCCCCCACCCCCCACCCCCACCCCAACGTCACTGGTTTTGATGATGCTAATTAATTCTGAAAACTTTCTTATACAAGAAAAAAAAGTTGTAAAGTTCCGTATTAATTTTTAAGAATACTGAAGCAGACGATATTATGCCCGTCCTTTTCCTCTCTTATAAATAGCTCTCAAGCCAAGTTCTGACAATAGGAATCTAAGCCAATAAACTATTATTTATAATTTACGTCAATCTCATGATAGAAAAATGTTCAGTCCCATATATTCTACGCGTATTATTACTCTCACAGAGCACTGTAAAATACCAATAGGACATAATTAAATTTTCCACGTCATTTTATCAAAGGCAAAAGCTCCAACAACGTCTGATTTGCACTTTGATGAAACCAGTCGTTACTATAGCATAATTATATATAAAAGTGGTGGTAATATTTAAAATGCTATCATATTTTTAATACTCTTGTAAAATAGTTTGAATGGCAATAACAATAGTAATTGTGTAACAGGTAGTAGTAGTAAAGTAATTTTACAATTATCAAAAAGCGATAATAAAATATTGAGGATATTATATATAATTTCATTGCTATACCACGCTGTAGTACAACCCCCAAAACAGCAGAATATTACACGTTCTCGCCTGCAATACATAACCAACCACTTTGAATGATGAAATATATCTGATATTCTCTGATGACCTATACACATAAATCGTATTCTTTCATTACAGGAAATACGTGGAAGAAATGAAGTATGCTCTCGATATCCAAACACACACACACACACACACACACACACACACACACACACACACACACACACACACACACACACACATATATATATACACACACACACACACAGAACACAAACACAGTAACGTGTACACAAAGATGAAAAGGAAAGCAGCCACAGTATATATATATCTATATATCTACATCTATATCTATCTATCTATCTATAAATATATTTCTCTGTGTACGCATATTTATACATATAGATAACAATAAGCTATATGTTGACTAAGTAGGTGTACATTTTAGATATAATAAAAAAACTCATGAATTTCATATATCCCCGAATGAGGACCAAGGATTATTGATCAAAAGAGAAAGGAAGGGCCTTTTTGAGGGCTAACCTGGCGTGCGGAGAAGGCGCAATAGCAGCCGCTACATATATATACTGGCCTCGCAAACAACTAGACGATAACATCTACCATGAAGCTCCTGGTGGGCAGCTCGAAATTCACTGCATCATATAGTGTGAGTCGTATCTGCATTATCATATGAAGGATACATTAGATCTAAAGTTTAACAATATTCTTTTTTTCTTGCAGGTTTTGGTATTAGTGGCTGCTGTGTCCGCAATTCCAGAAGGATATAATTTACCTAGACCTTCAAGTCCATTTTTTATCCCTGGTGATTGCAGCGATGGACAGGTGCTGCACGTAGACGGAAGATGTGTGACACCTCAAGTGGTCAAACGTGTATTTGTGTATGACGTGCCATTGAACGTTGCTGATGTGAAAAAGCCACAGTATATTCCAGAACCTAAGATTGAACGCAATATGATTTTCGTGAGACTTCCTGACGATTCTGTAGGACCAGAGCCCATAGTCGTACCTCCCCCGAGGCAGCAACACGTCATATACGTTCTGAACAAGCAACTGGAACAGGACCAGCGAGTGATCGAGGTTCCAGCACCGCCGCCATCCGACCCCGAAGTGTTCTTCGTGAACTACGCAGAAGGAGAGAACCCGACTCTTCCTAGCGGAGTAGACCTTCAGACAGCGCTTGGTTCAGCTGCCCAGGGAACCGGGGAAGTCGTGAGCAGTAACGGGGCTGGGGGTGGAATAGCCGGTGGCACTGAAGAGACTGAAGGTGCCATCGGAAGTGGAGTCGGTATCGAAGGAGGCATTGAAGGCAATATCGGTGGGGACGTCGGAAGCAGTGTTGGAAGTGACATCGGAGGTGACAATATCTTCGGAATTAGTGAAACAGGTGATATTTTCAATGGCAAGTACTTACCTCCTTCGAACAAATAATTATATTTACCGATGTACATATATTTTTTTTCTCTGGTTATTTCTGAGTAATGAAGCTGTATGGCCTTAGGGCGTAATGTCCAAGGGATACGATGTACCTTTGGTATATAGCACATGGAAGTGAGTCTATATGTGCATACATTTTATAAATAAAAGTACTTGCAAGTGCTGATGCTATATTATTTACAGGAATTACACATACGCACGTTAATACACACACACAAACACACACACAATTGAAGAACATAAGAATTCCCAAGACATGTAACCAGTAAAGTCTAGTATTGATAAGCATTATCAATATTATCCTCCTGTCCTCATATGCTGGCATCACGCTACAGTATTATCTGATATCCTTATGAATATGATCGTCATTA